TACTTGGCTCTTTCAGGGCGTGTACCTCGAAGACAAACTAATATTCACCTCCGAGAATTCTGGTCTTCACCATGTGTAAGGTGGATGGGTCCACCTTCTCCACTTAAATGCGGCGCCCACGTTCATTTGATGTTCCCGCACCCTCTCTGGATATCATAGCCCTCCCTATGAGGACGCAGTATGTACTAGTTTTGCATCTCAAAAAGGCGAGAGGATAGCGCCGTTCGCTAGTGAAGAGTCGGCCGCCCCGCCCACCTGGCCAGCATAGGGTTCTATATAGGTCTCCAAATTTTTCTGCTTTTTTTTTCTTCACTATTAGATTACATATTATATGAGCTCTATAACTTATCTCATTGAAAGCGGGCTCAGCCTTTAAAGGCTAAGCCAAAGCAGTTATGGCAGCCAGGTGGGCGGGGGATCCTCTTCACAAGCGGGTGGCGCCATCCTCTCGTATTTTTGAGCTGCGAAATTAGTACATCCTCCACCCTTGTCGACAAAGCTACGATATCTAAGGAGGGCGTAGGAACATCAAATGAACGCGGGCGCCGCCTTCAACAGTGCACGCAACATGGGTGAAGGTACCTGAGTATCGTCTCCATACTCTGCCCGCGTTGCAGCACGGTCAGCCACTCACCTGATCCTAGCCAAACCTGCCACTTGTCTGAACCCCTCACTTCTGTTTGTTCTCTACAACTGAGTGCAAGGTTGGGTGTAAGAAACAACTATACTAATCATTATGGCCACCTATTTAATAACTGATTTTGCACTGTCGAACGTTACCTAAAGACAGGTGCAGAAGCAGCTTAAATTCCCTGCATAGGATAAGGTAAATTTACTGTATAGGATAAGATGCATGCATGAAAAGCGGAGACTTACTTTCGAGGATAAAATCCGTCATCTTCGTCTGCTGCCAACAGCTAGCAAAATCCACCCGTACGTCAATAAAATTTGCTGAAAATGAGCCCCATAACTGAGTTTCGCAGGCATGGAACTTATGCAATGAATGTAGTAGAACCAGCTAGTGCAGTTAAGGCAATGGTGGGGCGCGCCTCAGCTACATTAGCGCTGGATCGGTAACACTAACAACGGCTAGGCTGGGTCCGTACTTTGCTGCAGCGTACGCCAGCGTTTCCAGCGTTCGGCAGTGGCAGTGACCAGGGAAAGGGTATATATGGTGGTGTATCGATGTATGTGTATCGATCTAGCGTTTGCCAGCGTCACCAGCGTGCGCTAGCGTAGCGAGGGCAAAGAAAGTATTATCGATCTAGCGTTTCCAAGCGTTTCACCAGCGTTTGCCAGCGTTTCACTAGCGGCGGGACTAGAGAGTATGGGAGAGTAGGAGAGTAGCGAACGGCTCGATTAGGCGTCGTGGAATTGCGGCGTGTGCAACCGCACCGCACTACTAGACAATACCGTACACTAAATTGGTTAAATCGCATAATGCACTGATTGAACCGTAATGCATTGTTGTAAAGAATAAAACAGCATGAGATCATTTGGGATCTTTCATAAGGATGAGCGTGTATGTGTCGGTATATTCGTCCGGAACATTCATAAGTATTACCAAAAATTTCCAACCGGAACAATTTCGAGCAGATCAGTCCTAAAAAGGATACAGTGCGTAACAAAAGTATGTGGACACCTCAAATTTTTGTCCTGCAAAATTGCCTTTGAATTTGCGATATGAGACCTTTATGTTGAATTCCTCATAAGCGAAAACATAGGAATACACTACTTCTGAGCACTTTGTGAACTACTGTACAATTATTTATTGTTTTGAAAAAGTTTCTTAATAACAAAAGTATGTGGACACTTAACAAAAAACAAATGTATCGTGGAAAATAGAAGTTGGTTCTTCCTCCAGCGTTCACTATTACTTCGAACATTCTGTCTGGCATGCTGTGGACAAGATTTGTCATGGTGTCTTCGTCGATTTCCTCCCATGCAGCAACTACCGCCTCCTTCAAGCCTCGCACGCTGTTCTATACTGCCGACTGTTCATGTAGATTCGTCGAACCATGATCCCCCACAGGATTTCGGTTGGGTTGCAGTCAGGAGAACACGCCGGCCAATCAATCACTTTGATACCATTGCGGAGGCATTCTAGAATTTGAAACATGCACGGTCATGTTCTCCTTCTGCATC